TTGCACCTGCCCGGGACCGCTTGCAATGCCCCGAGCCTGCTTGCACAGGCTCAGGACATAACACACCCCATGTTCTATATATAGAAATATTTTTGTGAAGTCACAATGAGGAATTATACATGTAGGAGTGACTATTGCAAATACAAAATTCAAACAGGAAATCAGAATTGGGAAGGAAAAGATCATTGACTATTTAGCACCGCTAATATTGAATAAAGAAACTGATATGCACTATGCAGACAGTGTGAGATCTCTGTCTGAACTTAGGTCTCTGCTCTCCTTTTTTTTTCCTCTTAATTTCTCTGTGGATCTTCTTTGCTTGTTGCTTTATAATATTTTGTCTTTCCACCCACAGGTCCCTATGGAGTATGGTGATACATGAATAAATAAAACAAATATATTTGCTATTGCAACATCACATCATGAACAGGTTGCATCTTATCAGTATTGCAGCATGAACTTTCCCACTTCACAGGAAAAGTGACTTTTCCTAAGGATAGAGAGAGTTAACTAATGGTTTTGCTTTCCATGACAGTGCCCTAGAAACATGACTTGAACCAGTGTTTATATAGGGAGGTGGTGAATGAGAGAGTCTACATATAGATTAATTATGGATTTGATTGTAAAATTTCTGCCTGTTTGCATGAAAAGAGGGAAGGCCTTTGTTCAGCTCATTTTCTTAAGGAATCTTTTCTCTCTACTCCTCCTTGTACTATAACATAGTTTACAGCAGGACTATCTGTCAGGGCCTGATGACATGATCTTGCTTGGTAGCAGAAGTCTTACAAGCAAGCACAAGCAACCCATAAACAATTCAAATCAGAGGCAGCCAACCTGAAGCTTACAAAAAGAAGTTGGAATTCCTACTCAGTGGTCTATCTTAATGTGCGTTGTTTATTAAAGATAAAATGGTTGATGCTGGAAAGCATTGTACAGGCAGCCCCCAGAATCTGGTAATAATAAATGTACAAAAGGCTTTTGAATAGAAACTCTGCTGCAGTCTGTGAGATGGATGCTGTGAATGAATAAAGCAACGGCCCCATGGAATGGAATGTGTGGGCATCCTACATGGGGAAATAGTTAGTTGCTTACTTTCTTAGTTTAAGGAGAGTGATTGCTCCCACCACTTAATATTGTTTTAGTTCTGAAAATGAGTTGAAGTTCAACCTGTTTCTCTTTGTCCTGAGGAACAACTGCCTTCAAACTAGATTGGCCATTTATGTATCACCAATGAAAAGGATAACATAGGCCCAAGTTTACAAAAATGCCATGAATATATATGAATAGGGGCATATAGGAGGAGTGGGTCTGCTGAAACTACTGCCAGGCAACTTTATCACCCCTATTCTCTTTCTTAAAGCTTTTTCCCACCATAAATTGGGTTTTAATTATATACCCCTTCAAATTAAACAAGTGTCGAGGAAGCTTTGATCTACTGACATGAAATAGCCAATGGTAATTCCCAATGCAAACTGCCAGCTTCATCACCCTGTTCCCAAGATGCCATCTCCTGGTCTCAGGTCCTGTACCAGATTGTCTCAGGGTCAGCACCACATTATTTTCACTAAGCTATATGGGCAGTGATTAGGGCTTGTCAGATGGTGATCCCCGAATACATTTTTTGCACAAAGAAAATTTGACCTGCCTTACAGGGAGAGAAGGAAATGCAGAATTTGAAAGTGACTGGGATCCCCACTCTTCTGTACAACCAAGGACTTGGTGGGGAATGTACCATATTTTCCCCATCTCTGCAAGCTCAGGATGGGGTAACAAGAGAGGGAAAGAACAAAAAATGTACCATTTAGGCTTAGCTTTTTAAACAGACTGTGCTTTACTTATACAAGCACCTGCTTCTCAAATTTTTTTTTGGGGGGGGGGGAGGAAAATGACAGAAAAAATAGTGTGCAAAGTTTAAAAATACAAAACCAAATGAAAAAATATTAATGCATTGTGGAAAATAGCAGTAGCATTTACACTTATATACCACCCCACAGTGCTTTACAACAGAGGTCCCCAACCCCTGGTCTATAGCCCCTTTGGAACTGGATCATAGACCTGGCAGGTGAGCATACATGTGTGTGTGCAGCTCCACTTGCGCAAGCTTAATTTGTGCTCACCTGCCACTCATGCTGAACCATCCCCTCCCCCCGCTGCCACCTATCTGCAAACTGCAAATGTTTGGGACCCCTGCTTTACAGCACTCTCTTGGTAGTTTACAATTTCAGCATATTGCCCCCAACAATCTGGGTCCTCATTTTACTGACCTCGGGAGATGGAAGTCAACATTTAAAATATAACAAAATTCTAACCACTTATCATCAATCAACTGGAAACATGAATTGCCCAGCCTTTTCTAAAGGACAGTAGGGTCAAGGACAAACAAAACTTGATGAAACTGTATTCCAGAAGACAGGAGAGGTGACAGACAAGGCACGCTTCTGGGGTCCTCCAAAATGGCACTATTTAGTCGTTGGGATTCAGAGCATGCCCCATCCTGTGTTCAGGCAGAGGCAACTGGAGAAAAGTGACCCCCTAAATCAGTGGTTCTCAACCTTTCTAATGCTGTGACCCCATAATACAGTTCCCCATGTTGTGGTGACCCCCAAGTGGGTGTGGCCACCAATAAGAGAGAGTAGGACAGCTAGGGAAAAGGGAAAAAATGGCGGACAGCGTGGTTTGGCGACCCCCGTGAAATGGTCATTTGACCCCAAATGGGGTCCCGACCCACAGGTTGAGACCCACTGCCCTAAATAATCAGAACTTGAGCCACAAACTGTTTTAAAGATGATAGCCAGCACCTTGAGTTGGAAGCCAAGTGCAGCTTGTAAATCAGAAATACTATGTGGGTATACCAAGATGTACCCATAACTGCTCATGCAATCTCTTTTGGGACCAGTTGTATTTTCCAAGTAGTCTTCAGGGGCATCCATATGTAGAGTGCATTAGTATTCCAAACAAAAGGTTACTAGGACATCAGTGACTGTGAGCAAGGATTATATCTCCATTACAACTATCCATAGGTGATGGGGAAGGAGGATTTTCCAAGGAATGAAATCAAATTTCTGTATTCCTTTGTGGAGAGCTATAAAAAAGTTGGCAACATTTATTTAAATGTATGCATTTATATTCTTCCTTTCTAATGAAGAAAATAGTCACAAAGAAGTATCTTCCACTTACATATTTACTTTTCTTCTTTCTGTAATCTGTCTAATCAGCAAAACCATGAATCCTACATTCACTTTTTTGTGCAAAAATACTTAAATATTAGCAATAAACTTAGCTATTGTCTTTTCTTTGATTTAACAAAGTCAATTTAGCCATCTCAAGTAGTTCCATCATCCCCAACAATCATTCTTCCATTATGGATAAAGCTGAATCTTTCCTTTTTTGTGCTTATATTGTTTCTCCAATTCCCTATTAAACTAGGAAATTTTTTTTAAAATGGTCTCAATTGTATATTAATATTTAAAATTCTCTGAATCAGTCTGTGTATTTGAATCTAGAATTTTCTAGCTTTTTGCATGATCAATTGTTCACATTTTAACATAAATTTGAATTGCCCTTATACATTCCAGACTGTTTCTTTGGTGACATATACCAATGGTACATCATTTTATAAAAATTCTCTGTAAGATCATAACATACTATAAATTTCAATCTTTTCAATCACATATTTCTCCATTGTTCACTCTATGTAACCAAAATCGTTATCTCAATTCATACATTCTTTAACACGTTCTTCTTCTGTTTTAAATTTCAATAAAAGTTTATACATTTTAGCAATTACACTTTCATAATCTGTACATAATTCTGTTTCAGTCTTACAATATTCAAAACCATACATTATTTTGTCTACTTTCTTTCTAATAATTGTAAACTATATTGACAACTATATCATCCTGCTATCAATTCATAAATAGTGAAGGTCTTTTGGGGTATAACCTGGGTTTGTATCTATTTCATATTCTCAAAATAGCAAGTGTAACATAGTGGTTTTTAAAATCCACATTAAATTTAACCTTAACCACAAATACTCATGCCACCCAAATTTCAGGTCATGTTCTAATAACTCCAGGAGCTTCTATTTATCAGCAGCACCCATCCTTTCCTACAAACTAAGATGCAAAATACAATTTCAAATCAGGTAAGCCTAGTCCTCCTCTTTCTTTTGTATCTTATAACACCATATATTTAACTCATGTTTTTCCTTTGACACACAAATTTGGATATATCTTTCTGCCACTGTTTAAATGGTGCAGTTGTCAAAACAGGTATTATTAGAACAAAAACATCATTCCAGGCAAAACATTCATTTTTATCACTGAAATTTTCACCAGCAATGACAGTTGTAGTTTGTCCTTTCTTAACGTGTCTTTTTAAACTTCATTCCATGTCTTGACATAGTTCTTTTGAAATAACACATAGTTCATGTTTGTCATAGTGACACCAAAGATATTTTATCTCAATCTTAAAACCTGTATTATTCATCAATTCTGTTTTATCTATCTATTCCTATAAAATATGATCTATATTTTTGTTAACATCTTCACCTGCTGTTTATTAACCCTGAAACCTGCTACTGCACCAAGTTCTTTTGATCTGCCCATTAATATTTTAATTCCCTTTAAAGAATCTTCCAGGACCAATACCAAGTCATCTGTAAAAGCCCTTACCTTATATGTTTCTTTTTAAATCTTTACTCCCAAAATTTTCTTATCTTATCTTGTATCTTGCAAAATTATTTTCAGTCTATCAGCTACAATTGTTGTGAACTTGTAGTCATTATTCAGTAATATCAGCCTACAGTTTCTTGTTAAATCTTGCCCCTCTTTAGGTATTAAATGTAAATCTATTGCTTCTTGTAGGCAATTTATATCTTGCTTTAATTTTTTCAAATAATGAATTTTTTGTTGCCTTTTAAGAAGCATTTACTCCTTTTATATTCCACATTAAGCATTGTGTAATCTATAATCAAGCCAAAAATTTAAAAAAATCAATACCTGCAGCACCTAGTTCAGTAGCATCTCTTCCAGTTTCCTGCTGTAGCTGTTGGAATTTTTGTGCATTTTCCTCTGATTGTTCCACTTGAATCTCCTCCAATTTCTCTTTGATTTATTCTAGAAATTCCCTCTTCTTCTGGACAGAATTCAAACGAAACCTCTGTTGTTTAAAAGTAAAAATCACACTCTCCAACTTGTCCCATCAAAATAGGAACTTTTCTGTTGTAATCTCTCAATTAAAAAGGAATACCATTTTCCCTTAGGCAAAATTCTAATATGAATTTTTAAAGGAACAATTACATCTGTTATTATCAGTCTTCAGTCTTGTATTAAGTGGTATTATAAAATTTGATCCCTTATTTTCTTCCTGATAAAATGCACCCAAACACCCCTTGGAATATTTTTTTATTCTTAAAAATCTTGTATTTATTTTACATACATTATCAATTTCTGTCTCTGTATCCTCCTCCTCCTCCCACTAAAAAAAATTACTAAAAAAATAACCTTTTATCTAATATCCTCACCAGTACTCTCTGTGATTGCTCTAAATCTCAAGCAAAATTCCTTCCCTTGCATTTCCAATAGAATCACATTATATTTTATTTTTCTAACTCCTTATCTATGTCTGCCATATCCTCCAAAATTTCCATTTTGACATCAGTCTGTTTTCTAATATTTGTTTTGTAGTGCTTTCCATTATCTTAACTTCTTCCATCTCCTTTTTCATCTTTACAAATCTTTCATTCATTCTTTCTTTGTTTTTGTTTTTTAAAAAATCTGTCAAGTGATTCAGCTAACTTATTGACCAGGTGATCAAACATTTTCTGAAGCAAACCTGTATAATTCCTCTCTCTGCAGTTTGCTCTAGTGATCCTCCCTTTGCCTCCATTTTTGATGCTTTTTGGTAGTTGCCATTATAATATTACAGTCCAAAACTGTAAGGGTCTCAAACAAGAGAAAAAGGAAAGACAAGCTTCCCTTTCTGGGGATTACTTTTAATCCCTATATATGATTTCCAGAGACGAACATTCCACTTTGAGTTATTGAAGGCTCAGATTGATAGCGTTCTCTAGCTTTGGATAAAAAGCCATGAAGTGAAGTGGAAGGTATTTTCCTTTCATGAACTTGCTCATACATTATGAACTATAGTGTATAAATCATGATTCAATAAACTATAATTAATTGAAAACATGTTGCTAGAGTTTATATATTACACACCTGTTTGTAATATGTTTACAAACCAAAATGATTGGAAATAAATTGCTATTTAGGAAAGGAAATAAACCACAGACTTTTTAACAATGGAATTTAATATATTACAGAGGAAAAAGTGCTGAGTTCATTAGTTTGCTCTTACTGGCATTAATGGAATATTCCACCAGCCAGCAAACAGGTGTGTTTTCCCTAATTCCTTTTATTCTCTGCAGTGGGATAGGGCTGAAAAAGGGAGAACTGGCTGCCTCCCCACTCCCCCCCCCATTCCTCTCCATCTTTTTCACCTCTGAATCGGAATGGCAATCGGAATTTCCACTCATAGAAACCTAATTAAGGTCTCTAGTGCAGAGCTTTTCAACATTTTCACCCGCTGTACCACTTTTAGGATATGGCATTATCTGAGTACCACCAGTACCACCAGCAAGGTGTCAAAAATTTGATGACCAAAAAAAAAAAAGGAAAAAAGTGATAAAGTACAGGTAATCCTCGACTCCCAACAGTTCATTTAGTGACTGTTCGGAGTTACCACAGCACTGAAAAAAATGACGTATGACCATTTTTCACACTTATGACTGTTGCAGCATCTCCAGGGTCTTGTGATTTACATTCAGATGCTTGCTGACTGATTCATATTTATGATGGTCACAGTGTCCCAGGGTCATGTGATCCCCTTGTGCGACCTTCTGACTAGTGAAGTCCATGGGGGAAGCCAGATTCACTTAACAACTATGTTACTAATTTAACAACTGCAGTGATTCACTTAACAAATGTGGCAAGAAAAGTCATAAAATGGGACAAAACTCATTTAACAAATTTCTCACTTAGCAATATAAATTTTGGACTAAATTATAGTTGTAAGTTGAGGACTTACACCCACTTACCACACTTTTAATGGGAAACTTGTGCCTGTTTCTCTGACATTAATCTTTGCACTGTTCTATCCCCTTCTCTCCTTCTGGTTGACTCAAAGAAGCTGATAGGTGATTGCAGGGGCTTTGGAGGGGGATGCAGTTTCTATACTTGAAGTGGGGGCATGGGGGGCATGTCAGGGTGCTAGTTGGCTATCCCCCAAAGATTCCCTAACTTTAAAACAGCTCTTGGATGGCAACAGTTACCCAGCACGAGGGGCTCAGGAAAAAGAGATGCCAGCAATGCTAACTCCCAAAAGTGAGGGGCTCAGAGGCAGCTACAAGCAGGGGAGGCAGGGAGGGGGGGGCAAAGAAAGGAAATCAAACCTGATTGACAGGGAGCATAGTAACCCTGTCCCTACTCCACAGAAGGCAGATCCCCATCATCCCCGGCCCAGCAGGGGTCTTCCTGCCCCACTGTTGCAGACAAAGGGAGGCTCCAATGAGAAGGAGGAGGAAGAGGGGTTAAGCAAGCTTAGCAACCAGAGTGGGGATCCCCTCCAAAAAACATGCTTCGTGGGTAACCACCCAGCATGACAGAAGTGACCAAAACTTGCTGCAACCACCCAGCAGATGGGGGGAGGAATAAAAACCAAACAGCCCTCCTTTGCCAATTCTCAACAGAAATGCTCACAACAACAAAAACCTTGGACAGGGGGAAGAGCGCAGGCAGGCGGGCGTCTTGCTTGGTTGGTGGCTTGGGGGGGGGGAAAGGGGGCAGCTTCACCTCCCCCAAATGCTGTCCTCTCACAAAAGCAGGATGAAAACTCCGAAAAACAACCAGGAAAAAAGGTTAAAACAGAAGAGTGTCTCTTCTGAACAAGAAAAAAGAAGATCACATCTGCATACAGCTCTTGTGGGTGGAGTGGGGGATTTTTAATTTTTTGCTTAGTTTTGCTCTTTTAAAAAGATCATTCCCCTCACCAGAAGCTGCGCGCCATCACTGTTCGCCTGCTACACTTCTTACCGTAGCCCCCCCCTTTGTCTGCAACAGTGCAGCAGGAAAACCACTGCCAGGCTGGGGATGATGGAGATCTGCCCTCTGGAGAGTAGTGATAGGGCTCCAACTGATCAGTCCTTCTTGTGGGCTCAGCAGAAGTGCCAAAATCAGCGCCTAGCTCCAGTTGGAGCCTGATGCTGATCCTGGTGCTTCTGCTGAGCCCTGACAGCCCTGAAGAAGTGCTGATCAGCTGTAAAGCAGCACTGATCCTGACGCTTCCACTGAGCCCTGCAGCTCCAGCCATCTCTTACTCAGGCTTGTGCAGTGCTGCTATCGTTCAGCTCATTCCCCTCCCCCGCTACCACTTCTGTAGGATGGTTGTGTACCACCTGCCAGGTGCCAATGTACCATCAGTGGTACGTGTATCACCGATGGAAAAGCCCTGCTCTAATGTACAGAATAAAATGATTTTTAAATGATCTGGATGTTCAGCTGAGAAGCGTTCTAGAAACCAAAAATTATTAGTATCATTATCTTCAGACAATATTCCCTTCATCTTCTTCCTTGGAAAAACAAAAGATTGCAACTGCTTGGGAAGAACAATGGAAAAGCCATTGCTGAGATTCCAACTGTAAGTCAGCATGTCTATAACTGGAAATTCCCTAGGTTGTAATCCCAGCATTTCTGGAGGGCACCTTCATGAGAAAGGCTGGGATTTTCAGAATGTTGACTTTATACAGTAGTACCCTATTCTCTCTGAATATGTGCTTCTATTTACCATAATCACAGCAAAGGTGTTGCTTTATAGTTCAGCGTGTAAAACATTTAGAGACACAAAGTGGCAGGCTGAGTGAGAGCACCAGTTTTGATTGTGAAGTGCTTTCAAATGGCCCACTGGGAGTTGAGCTAATGGAAGACCAAAGCAGTAACAGGGCTCTGTCAAAAAGTGGTAGTTTTCTACTGTAGCCCTGAAAGACAACATCTCTAATAATTCAGATCACAGCAGAGAGTGAACCTTTTCTTCCTCATCACTTGGTGTTTTTAAAGTACCAGCTGAAGTGTCTTTTATAATTAGATGCTGAGCTAATGCTGTTTTTCTACAGTTGCCTAGAAACTGATATAAGACCCTTTGTACATGTCCAACTACTAGTGTTGCTACCAAACTGAATCCTATTCACAGTTCATATTAACATTCCAGAAAAATTATACATACACATGATTGAGGCAATTCACAGTGGTGCAATTGTTATCTAGATAATTACTTTGCATTTAAATATAAGCCCATACTCCTCTAAGAATGTTGGATGCATTGAATTGTTGGGGAATGAACCCCATGCATGGGAACAGGATTAATTCCCATAATTTTCCCTTTTTCATGTTGAAAATTGAAATTTGCAAGAAACATTTTGAGAAGTCTAGAGTGTCCATCCAAGACTTGTGGGGAGATTTAACTGCAACCATGGGTTTACAGGAGGTGTCTCACTTATACAGATATTCCTGAAATGTTCATTAAAAAAAATAAGCCAACAAGGTGATTCATTCAGGTTCAAAATTCTTTCCGAACAGATGCAGAAACGTATGTTCTAACTCAGAGCATCAGATACAGTATACTATTATCTGGGACACTACACATCATGACCTGTTTTCCTTGTTACCTTCTGGGAGGAGGCTTCATGTTATACGAAGCAGAACATCCAGATTCAGCCATAGTTTCATTCATACAACATTAACCTTGTGAACTCTCAAGCTTCCTCCTTCCGTTATATATTCAAGATGGACAGTATTTAATATTTATTTGTTATATATATGTAGGGGTGTGGGTCTATACTTATGTTGTATATAGTATGTTTAGGTGTGTGTCATGCATGTGTTCACTTTGAGAGCAGGCAACTAAATTTCATTTTTGATGTGTGCCGTTGTGCCCACAGTAAAAAGTGACAATAAAGGTTGCCTTGCCTTCCTTTGCCTTGCCTTATTTTATCTTATTGTTCCTAAGCAATATTCACACAGAGAATTGTTTCAGTCCATGTGTACTGAAAAACCTCTGAAACCACTCATCAACTGGAGCAATGAGTGCAGGCATAGACAGTGAAGCAG